GAATTGAGTAATTCATCAGAAAGTGAATCGACAACAGAAGAGTCAGGTACTGGGGATAGTGAACCTGATGTAGCTTTGTTAAATGGGCATGGAAAGCAATCAAAGGGCAAAAAAATTCTCATCTGTGATTCGGATGATGGGGCTCAACCATTTGATATCAGAGAAACTCATCCTACTGAAAGGAGGAGATTGGTTGTGAGGTTTCCTGTTCGAAATTCAAATAAGCTTACCTTGCTGGAGAATCTACCTGGATCATCTTCTGATGTTCCAACTCCAACTTTAGGGAATGGCTATGCTGAAGACTTAATGGTTCCTAGGAACCTTGAAATTCACACAGATCAATTTGGAAGGTTAGATGCAAGTCAAGTCAAATGGGGAAGTGTGAAGGCTCGTACATCAAAGCGAATGAGAGGGGAAGCAATGTCGTCGCATGGACTTATGGCCGCTGAGCCAGAGGGAAAGAAAAATAACATTAACGAAGATCCAAATCACCGTGATAATGGTGTTACAGCACCTAGTTGTTTGGAGTTGAAAACTTATATGAATGGCATGGCCGTTGACACTGACACAGTGATTTCTAATGGTTTGCCAGATGGTGAGCAACAAAGTCTTGGACTGGATGGTTCACCAAGTCGACCGGCTGATGACGGTGCCTCTAACTGTTCTCAGGATGTAAGCGGGCACCTTCATGATCTAATGGATAGCCTTCCCCCTCTCTCTAGGAGGTTGAGAATACGGTCCAAGAGGGTTTCAAGAACTCCTGATGCATCTTTGAAGCAAGAAGGAAAATCTTCATCAATAGATCAGGAGACTGGTGGCTCTGATGCATTAAATGATGGTTCTGCAGACACTAGATGTGATTTGGCATTAGACTGTCAAACGAATGGTGTGGTTGGAACAGAGCTAGCTCTGAGAAATGATTGTTTGCGGGAATCAAATTCTCAGATCAGTGATCCTGTCTCAGTTGCTAATGATYTTCAGGTGTCTCACTCACATCCTAAACGAATGTTTGCTTATGTTTATAGACGACTGAAGTTACGAAACCATAAAAATAACTCAGACAGGGGTGCGAGTCTTACTCAAGAAATAAGTCCAGGGTCTTGTAGTCAGGATCAGAGTAGTGGTGCTAATTCCCATGAGTGTGTCCCTAATGGATTCCATGGGACACAGTTGAATGGATTGGAGAAGCCGAAAGGCAGTTTGACACCCATCCGAGATAAATTAAGTGATTCATGTGGAAATCAAAACTCTCAAGAAGAATGGAGATCGACTTCTGGGGCAACACTTCGGTTGAGATCAACAAGAAATAGAAGGTCTACTTATCCATTTAGTGAAACTAAACCTATTGAAACAAAGAAGCCTCAGCAGTTAACAGAAAAAATATCCTGGTTGACATTATCGACACACGAAGAGGGTTCTCGTTATATTCCACAAAAGGGGGATGAAGTTGCGTATTTGCGACAGGTAAGTGTTTGTGGTGATCTTATTTGTTGTTTCGTTTTGCCAGCCTTTATTATCAATTCTTTACCTGAGGCTGTTGCTCTTTATCTTTCAGGGGCATCAAGAATATTTAAATTTTAGCTCCCTGAGGGAAGTGGCTCCTTGGAATTCAATGAAGGGAGGAAATATAAAGGCGGTGGAAATTTGTAAAGTGGAAAGTCTTGAATATGCAACACTTCCTGGTTCTGGGGATAGCTGCTGCAAAATGATACTTAAAGTCATCGATCCTAACTCAGAAGTGTTCAGCAAAACTTTTAAACTCACGCTGCCTGAGGTAGTGACCTTTCCAGATTTTCTTGTGGAAAGAAGTCGGTATGACGCAGCAATACAGAGGAACTGGACTTGCAGGGACAAGTGTAAGGTTTGGTGGAGAGACGAAGGCGAAGAGGATGGTAGTTGGTGGGAAGGACGGATTCTAGCTGTGAAACCCAAATCACCTGATTTTCCTGATAGTCCGTGGGAGAGGTACACAGTTAAATACAAGAGTGATCCTACTGAGACACATCTTCACAGTCCCTGGGAGCTTTTTGATGCTGATACCAAGTGGGAACAGCCTCACATTGATGATGAGAAACGAAACCATCTGCTCTCTGCCTTAACAAAGTTAGAGACTTCAGGCAAAAGGACCCAGGTATGTGACTCTAATGAATTTAATATCCCATGGTGTTAAATTCAGACTATCTTAGCCACCGAGTTCAAACTTTATTTAAGGAGCTTAGGCTCAAGTTAGCGTAGACCACCGTGGTCTATAGATCACTCTTTATACTCGGGGTTTTAGTTAGTTCACTTTAAAGCTAGTGGATTAGGAGGAGACAAGACGCAAAACTATCCTAAAAACACAACAATATGATATAATCTCTACTAATGCGTTTCAGGATTCTTATGGCATCCAAAAATTGAACCAAGCAATGGGAAACTCCAGCTACACGAACAGGTACCTTTCTACAACACTTGAAGAGGTTTGGTGGAGCCGAAACTGACATGGTTTTGTTCTGTGGATTCATCTGCAGGTTCCCAGTTCCTTTGTCTCTTGGAGTAATCCGATCAAGGCTAGAGAACAACTATTACCGGAGTTTGGAAGCATTACGACACGACGTATCAGTTATGTTGTCCAATGCAGAAACTTTCTTTGGCCGAAACAAAAGCGTAGCCGTCAAGATGTCACATCTCTCAAACTGGTTCGACAAAATGCTACCTTCTTCGTAGCTTTTCTTCCTCAAAGTAGTGACTATGTAGATAAAATGATTTTTTTTTCTCATGTTCCCAAATTATTTAGTTAGGGTTTCTGCAATTTTTTTCTAAACTCAAGTCAAAATGAAAGAGGAGAATTTTGAGGGGGGTTGGGGCAGACAGAATTTTAGGTTTAGGGCTAGTCGGAGATAATTTTTTTTGTTTTTGTAAGTAAAAAAAGATTGGAGAGGACAAAAACATTTGATGCTCTGGAAATAGTACAACAAGTGAAATTTTAGACACTACGTACAATTGGACAAAAATAACTATATAGATTTTTGTTTAAATTATAATGTAATCGATGATTAACAAAAAAAACTGTATAGAATTTTGATGGAAAATAATAAACAAGTACCGTAACGAGGAAAAAAATTATGAGAATTTTTAAGTAGTACCATTTTTGAAATGTTATTTTTCACAAATGTCACTTTATCCGATGTATCATTTATGTTTGGGTTGTTACTGCATGTGGTTGCTTCTATTGTTAAAGTGTTTGAAGATTGTTGGTGTAGAAGACTGA